CAGCTGTGTCTCCTAAGGCAGACCTGGCTGGGCTTCTCTCTCCTCTGCCTATAAGGCCCGATGTTCAGATGTCAAAGATCTGTCTTTTTATAGACACAAAGAACCATGTAGAATCACGGTTTTGGGGATTGCTGTCCTTGCAACTGTGATGAACATCGATGACCTTCCATTCATTTCCTCTAACTTCCGAGAGCTGGAGTAGCAAATTCCCCTTCCCCTCTTTTGCATGTTTGCAGGATGGGAGTTTCAGATGTTGTTTACCTGCCAGACGTGGAGTGGAGGCTTCCCAAAGCAGCATGATGATGTATCCACTTTAGGACCACATGGTAACGGGGACTGAGAGAACAGGGTGTCCTTCCTAGGAGGGACCGAGCCAGTCGGAGCAGTCTGGCCCTGCCTGCAAAGCCTGTGTGGCCTTCGGAACATAATTTAACCTCCCTGGGCTCCGTTTGCTTCTGTTTGAGACCCTCTTCCTAATTGTGCCCGTGGTGCCAAGTTCATAATCAGTGCTCAGTTCGTGGTGGACCCCCCTTCATCCCCCAAATGTCAAAGTCTCCAGCTTCCCATTTCCCTTCCATTCCTGACTTTAAGTCCTTGAGTTGGGTGACCATTAATATTACTGCTAGGAGCATTTTCAGAGCACTTTACGTTTACAGCTTTTATTCCTCCCCAGATAGTTCTCAGCCCTTTCTTCTGAATAGGTATTAAAAACACATCATTGGACAAATTCCTTTCCCTAGAAGATACATCATGAATGTGGTTGGAGAAGGCAGGGTCATAATTCGGAGAATTCAGGGTTGATTTACCTTATCCTCCTGCTCTTTTGCTGTAAAGTCCGGAGCCCCAGGAAGTGCTGCCAAACTCCCGCTTATTTTCCAAGAGCAGGGCAGAATAAATTGCTATTTTGTTTGGTTTTGTTTCCCATATACAAGGCCTCCCAGGCCCTGGAACCTAGGCTGCTGGCATTTTAATTAATGTTAATGACTGGGCTGACTCCCTCCCCAGTGAATCTGAGAAAGGGAAATAAATAGGCAAACCCGAACAAAGCCATGTGCAGAGGTGGTACCCTCTAGAAAAACTGACTTCTCCGATGGCTGACCAGGGTCTCTAACCAGGCCCATGCTCCTTCCTCATATTCCCCCAATTTTGAATTTTTTAGTTCAAATAGAAATTGGTTGCTGGGGGAAGCAGGTAGATTTCTTCCTTTAATACATAAATGATTCTGGGGCCTCGGAATCAGAATCTCCACTTTCTTATTACGAGGAGCATTTTTACTCTGAGATCAATACAACCAGAATGTGTCCAACCATAACTTTACAACAACAGAAAAGATACATAGCAAATGCCTTCAAATACCTGGAATCTGGCCTCAAAATCAACCTGGCATTTAAATCGACATGTACATGCCAGTTGGGTCAAAACATAGTCAAGATTTCCCCCAGAGATACTCTGTTTCATTTTTATTTTCAAGTAAATTTCTATTTTCCCCCCCAACCTTTACGGCTTAAGCGTTTTATCCAGTTTAAACGATAGGGATTTAAATTGCTATTTTAGTGGAAGAGGCTTGATTAAAACCTGTGTCCTCATCAAATTATTGGGGACAGTGGTTCTTGGGCTCTGTTTACATTAGTGTCAACCTTAATTTAAATTCCGCATAACTATATTTGCTTCGCTAAATGCATTCACCAGGAACACACCACAAATTACTTTGCATTATGAGCAGAGTCTCTTTGTCTATTGCAAAGTGTTTTGAAATTAGCACCATAAGTAACTAGCTGTAAGTGTCACTCCATCTCCTTAATGCCTCATTAATCAAACTCCGCGGCAGCTGGTGTGATGTCCAAGCCCCTCACATATAAGATCAGTATCATTTGCTCCTTGCCTTTGACCACGGTCTTTAAACTTGATTTGTTATTTGTGCATTTGCCCTCGCTGCAGCTCTGCTCCTCCCTCAGTGGCCTCCCAACACGTGGGGCTTTGTATGGATACCAGTTGCATGCGTACTCTTTATAGAAATTGGAAATAAAAACCCATTTCCCATGTTGTGGAAATGCACAGCCTCAAGGGCAGGAAATTCTTTTAATGGAAGAAGAGTTTCGCTTATTTCCCTGAGTTATCCACAGTGATTCCACATGATTTTCAGATTAATGCTAAAATGCCATAATGGAAAAATTTCCCTGGGCAAGTTTTTCTCTATGTCAAGAATTAGAGAAAAGAATTACATTCACCCAGACAGACTACAATTTCCATCTTGGCCTCAGTTTCCCAAAAAAAAAAAAAACCAGATGTATTTAGTCTAAACACCTAATCAGGAAAAAAAATGTATTTTTCCCTTATTATGTGATATGAATTATTCTGTACTAAATACAAAATTTTAGAATTTATGCTTGCAAAAGAAATACAGAACAATTTGTACTTAATAATTTTATTATAGGTACACACAAAATCATAGAAAAATATGATATATTTTATAGGATGTTTTTGTCTTTTCATGATGCCATCAAATATTTGCAAATACCTAAATGGAACCCTTTCTTCATTCTCCATACCATTTCCCTATATCACACACAAGTCCAAAAACACAAACACATACACACACACACACACACACACACACACACCTCTATACACATGCATCCTTTTAACCAAAGGTAATACTCACTGGTTTTAAAACTAACAGCTCTACTGGACAATGGCTTCATGGACATTTTAGAGGCTGTCTTAAGTCTGGTGTGGGCACAGGCACGTTGGATATGATTTCCCTGCAGGGATGCCCTCTCGGTGGCTGTAGGGGAGGCGTGCGGCCCCTCGCCTGCCAGTGCTGAGCTCAGACCCACAGTGAGCCAAGATGAACAGGTGCTTTCTTCTCTGGCAGCGGCACGTGAGGTCGGCTCTTTGCAGAGCAGCGTCTCAATGGGAGACCTTTAGCTTCATGGCCTTTCCTTCTGACCACCCAGCAGGAAAAATATACGAAAGCGTTTTTTTTCTGCCAGTTTTGTCGGTGAGACAAAAATACAAAAGCAAAATAACACACAGTATTAATACTTTGTATTTCCCACAGGTGGGCTTCTGAAATGTTTAACGCAATCATAGTAAACCATTAGTTTTCTTTGGAATGAATTTTTTTTGCCTTTTCACCTTATAAAACCATTCAGGCTAAATAACCACATTACAATAGAATTAAACATTGAAGCCTGGCTCCCAAAATCAACATCCGTGGAAAAATCCACTGAATCAGAACACACACCCAACAGTGCAAATCTGTGTTAGATTTTGACTTTAATATCAACTTAACATAACTGTAGTTTACATTATTATCATATCTACTCTCTCTTATATTTAAAATAGGCTCTGATTTTAGAAGAGCAAATGTAAAAAATATTTTGATTATTTGTTGATGACATTTACTCTGATTATAGATGTAATCTATGGCAATTACAAAAGTACCTTGTATGTCCCATCTCCAGTTCATCCTGCTTTTACCCTGAGTCCAGCAACCTCTATTCATTAGGATTCTGAACAAAATAAGCATGGAAAGGGGAAATCCAAAATAATATTCAGAAGTGGCAAATCATAACTGAACACAGTTTTAAATTTGACAATTTAAAACTTTTTCCTCTTTTCAGCAGCCAGAAGAAGTCTGGTTATTTTAAACCAAAATCTCTGCCCCAAAACCCCTTTCCCTGCACTCCATGAGCACCTCTCCCCCTTTTCCCCAAAAGGCAACATTTTGGCTTGGCAAGCAATACACATCACTGAACCCTTCCATTTAAATGACCCACAAAGATTGCATCTAATCACAGCTTGCAAGAAAGAAAGAAAGAAAGAAAGAAAGAAAGAAAGAAAGAAAGAAAGAAAGAAAGAAAGAAAGAAAGAAAGAGAAAGAGAAAGAGAGAGAGACAGAAAGAAAGAAGGAAAGAAAGAAAGAAAGAAAGAAAGAAAGAAAGAAAGAAAGAAAGAAAGAAAGAAAGAAAGAAAGAAAGAAAGAAAGAAATCAGACATAGGCAGTGTCAGTGTCCTATACGTCCACCCCCTCTGTTCTTCCATTCTCTCCCTCACCATCCTCTTGTAAAATAAAAGAAAGCCAAGCATAACTTGCTACAGTAAAGGCACCCCGAGATTTAGGGGGGTAAGTACGGCCTTACTTGTTAGCTGCAATGCTGCAGCTGTGCTCTTATCTGGCCAAAGGAGACAGGGGACAACAAAAGATCCCAAAGAAGGGACAGTGGACGCATGGGAAAACCACTACCCCAGCATTGTGGTGCCCTTCTGCTGAGCAAATAGTTCAAACTGTTCATTCCCATCTTCTATTCTCTCCCTGGTACATTGTCTGTGCCCTTGCATTTCATTCTGCAAGGAAGGTTGCTCTCTGGGCCTATAAGCAAACAGTCCAGAAAAGGGCTAGCCATCCTCTTCTCTTCCCCGGAGAACTAGCATTTTTATTTCGGCTCCAAGCTGTCAAAGATCTGGAGAGTTTATGTCAGTGTCCTGAATTAATTGCTTTAAGCTGGAGCAAGCTCCACGGGCTACCAAATGTCCAAAAGATGTTTATTAATAACATTTCCTCCAGGATTGTGGCTCCAAGCTGTCTCTGGGTGGTGGCTTTTCTATGCTGCCACCCTCTCACCCCTGGCCTCTTAGTGCTCAGGAGGAGATTGCCTCTTTCAGTCATCATGACAAAATTTAGAATTGCCCGGGGTGAAATAAATATCCACCTTTGTCACAGGGTGTACACGGCGGATATCTTTGTCCTGACCCAGAAAGAGTTACAGAAGCCCTGGGTGCAACCTACAAGTGGGCTGGGGGAGAGCAAAAAGCAGCCAGGACCCCCCTCTGTGAAAGCTCATTTAGCCAATACAATTAGCAAAAGGAGTAGGAGAAATCGGGGCTTCGGCTTCCCCTCCCCACCTTCTCCTCCAAAAGAAAATTCAGTGAGGCTGACAACACAATGCATTTTGAAGTTTTCCGGGTACAAAAAAAAAAAAAAAAAAAAACACAAAAAACACAAAAAAGCCTCTTTAATAGAATGAAATAATAAACCAATTTATATACCGATATAAGACTAGGATCGTGAATGCCATTGTGTAATTTTCCACTTGACTTTTCATTATCTACCTGAACAAAATCAATCTATATGTATGGGATCAACATACAATTCCAGAGATAAAAGCTGAAAATAAATGCGCTTTGCATATCCTGGAGATAAAAGACACAATCCTTGGTACTGCCTTTTCTTCTCCAGCAGATGCATTTATAAAATGAATTGTTGTGTCAAGGAAAAAGTGAGACGTAGCAGTGTATCCTGAGTGTTGACTCCTTTGCTGGAAATATTGATCCTGCAAATGAACAGTGGTTAATAAGTACCCTGCAGACGATATCAGGTCTTTTGCCCTAGTTTACCCAGAGTGCAGTCTGGGTCAATGTTTCTCCCAACCAAAGCTCCCCACCTCCAAAAAAAAAGAAAAAAAAAGACTTCCCCTATTAGCATGGATTTAAAGCTGAGGACTTCAAGGGCTTTTTAAAGCCACTCTACAGAGACAAAGCACATTGAAAATTCACATTATATTAGAAAACCCCGTGCAGCAAATGCCCAGCTTGTGAAGCACACAGCCCTCAAAAGGGAAGGAGAGAGAGTTCCATGCACTTTAGGGTTGACATTTATTACTTTAAACAGGTTGGGTTCCATTCCTTGTGTGCCCTTCTTTGCTCCAATAATTAGCAATGGCGCTAAGAGTAGTAAAGCTCTCTACACATTGGCCGTGCTATGGGTCCTCCCTAATTCCGTTTTTTTTTTTTTTTGGAATGTGTCACTGAATCTGTGTGAATCTGTGTGCCCTGGTGGGCAGATGATGGGGTATTGTTGAGGGTGCTCTGGCTGTTTGTGTGCCCTGTTGTGTTCAGGGCTCTTTGAGGAAAGTACACCCACTCTGCCCTCCCAGGGTGGGCTCACTTTGGTTGCTATTCACCTTCCTGTAAGGGAGGGGTTCATCTCCAACGTTGGATAGATAGCAAAGAGAGGCCCACAAGGCATGGGACCATCTTTCACCCCAAACAATCACTCTGAGTTTGTGAATACCTTCCTGTCATAGAAAAGGATTTCCAAAAATTAGCTACTCTTCACTGTTTATTCACTGTTAGATTCAGTAACCTCAGAGGAACTTAAATGTCCATGACAGTGTGATTGTCACAGCTTCAGTTCTTACAGCAGGACAAATCCACACTTGCGTATTTTAGGATCTTTGCACTGACAAATGTTAATGGCTGTTGGTCTATTGGTTCAGCAAGATTTTGCAACTCCCGATGTTCATGTACCTCCTTCCCTTCTCCTGGGCTCTGTATTCACACACAGCACCATTTGGACTGGGACCATTGCCTCTTGATTAGCAAATCTGGTGCTGTGTTCCATTCTTTGGTTTATATTGGTTGAAAACTCTGAGGAAAGCGTCCAGAAGCAATCCGATGCAGTGTCATGGCCTTTGGGGAAATGCTTGGGAGGGTCAAAGCTCAGCCTGGGGAGAAGCTCATGTGCTTTTAGTCACAGAAGACTCTTAGGACAATCAGCGTGCTTTCTTCGTCTCATCTTTTTGTTCCAGTAGCTGTAAATAAGCAAATCTAGAGAAAATGTAAGATGTGGTCAAGAAGAGTTATGCAGTCATTAGACTTTTGTTTGAAAAGGGAACACCATCCTGAAGGCATGTTTTGAAAAGGTCCTATATTTTCATGACAGAAATGATGCCTTGAATGGCTACAGCTTTCAGCCTTGGTGAACCCCAGGCTTACTTGATCCATGTTTTAATTACTCTGTGATTCAAATCTGCATCATAGGGAATCAGTATAGTGACATAAGAACTTCAACCAGCATAAAGAACATTTTCAGGAGCTTTGTACCTCCTAAGTTCCCCGAGGAAAGACCACACACCAGAACAGGGTGTCACTATTTCCACAGAGAAACCTGCTCATGCTGGAAAATGTCTTGCTAAGTGGCCTCAGAACCATCTTCTCAGGCTGGAACAGTGCTCCATGCACATGCAGAATCCTGACACAGTGGAACGCAGCCCGTGTTGATAAAATAAATATTTACTAAACAAGAGAAACTGAGTTTTTCAGAAAGGTATTTTTATAATATTTTTAGTGCTCATGTCTTAGTTGAACTATCTTGATGCCATTTCCTAGGGGAAGAAAAATGGACAGTGAGAAGTCCAGTAAATATATGTGATGCACACGTTTCAATAAATAAAATCAGATGGAAAGTTGTCAACTTTTGCTAGCTCTAGTATTTTAAAAACTGTACATCAACAGTTCAGATCTTAAAAAAAAAATAGATAAAGGGTATAAAATAATTTAAAGTCCAATGTGTCCCTTCACACCAGGCTTGATTGAGAAATGAGAAACCTGTTTTACAGGTGAACTAAAATGAGATAGGTATTTCATTTACCCTTTTACAGAGGCCAAATGGGAATGCTTTTCAACGTTGTTTTTATATTGGAGGGAAAAAGTGGGAACAGGAATTGGGTGAAACATAGTGCTCAATCAGAATCTCTTGCAACTCTTCTAAAAGCATTCACTTGAACTCAGTGAATGTCTCCCATGGCATTCTAGATTACCAACACAGATATCCATTCAGAAGAGGATGAGATCTCAGAATGCGGCCAGAAGAGGACTTTGCTCTGCCCTAAAGACACCGCAATCTTAACATGTCCTTCAAGTGGTCCCTGATCAAGATAGTTGTTTTTTAATATGAAAAGAAACATGACTGTCATTTATCCATGATGACAACATGAACAGTGAATTAAAATTTCATTTTGAAAGTATACTGTCACTGTGAAAAAATTCCTGGATTGTAACACTACAGAATGCTATGAGAGACACTTATCATTTATTCTGTCTTATAGTCGATCTCAAATTGTTATAAAATGTTTTAAATGCAGAAAACTAAGTGAAAAATCTCTAAAACTAAATTAACATTTGCCTCATAAAACATTGCTTTTATCACAGGGGACATGCAAGAAGGTGGCTGGCCACTCCTCTCATACATATCCCTGTTTTTCATGACTTGAAAATGTCTCAAATATATTTCTTAAATATGTCTTTATTATTTAACAATGAGAACTATGTAACCTTACTCCATTTCTCTTACCATGTTACAGAACTAAAAAGCACAAGATACCAGGGAGAGAAACAGGTTTCTTTTAGAGAAATAGGAAAACAGTTGCTCTATTACACAACTGGGGTAATAACAGTATTATGGCAATTCCCTTTAAATGGCATTTGATACACTTTGACAGAGGGAGTGTCAGGCGTTCTGCTTTGTACAACTTCGGGCTGCACCAGCACCAGTTGTGTCAAACATGTTGATATAACGTGGGGTTCATAAAAGTCAAATTAGGTGTTCAAATGTACTTTATTTTCCTTTTCCAGAAATTCTACAAGATACAGATGTGGATTCACAGCCAAACACAGAAAGGATACTTAGTTCTCAATGAAGCCCGGGGGAAGGGGGTAGTTTGTGAGAGCATCCTTCTAAAAGGAACTGTCTGTTCCCTGCAGAAATGACCATTCCTTGTCCCAGGCATCATTCAAAGTTCAAAAGAAGCATCTGCAGCTCAGCACAAGAAAGTGCTTTGCTCCCAACCTCCTAATGCCACTCGCACTTTAAAAGTGGTTAATACCTGCTGTGGACTGACTCAGATAAACCAGGAACAGCATCCCAGAATCTCTGCACACTGACCTGTGAATTGCTGAAGCCAAAGAACACTGGTGAAGTCCATTTCTCTCCCTTCGCTTTCCTCCAAGAAAAAGTAAAAGAAGAGTAGAAAACACACTGGGAGTTCTTTGTGGTTGTTTTCTTTTGTTTTTTCTTTTCTTTGAAGAAGAAGAAGAAAAAAAGATAAGCATCCATTTCCAAGTAATTTGAAGAGAGATAATTCTAATTATTGAAGAATTTCAATAACGGCTTTAGTAGAAACTCAAGACTGATTCAAACAGCAAATATTGAGATGCGGTTCCATCCCAATTTATGAGATTTTCTTTTTCTTTTTTGAGTAAGTAAATAATTTTAAAGAGCCACAAAAGAAGGGAGGCAAATTATTAGATATTTTGCTTGACATCAAAGTAATTTTACATTTATAAAGGCATACTGGCTATCAAAACTTTTAATGTTCCAGTCCTAGCTAAAAAGTCATGTCATGTCCCCCAAAATGAGCCTGAATTGATGTGAGGTTTTATGCAGATTTTAGGTCTGGTGAAGGGAATTTTGTGGAGCTGTGTGTCACGGTTTGGGGTGAAATTAAACCCTTGCTTGATTCCAGTGTCCATTTTGAGCTGGTTATGATTGCATGTGTTTTTCCTGTTTGTACCCGCCTTCTTCAGCCCTCTATGCACATACAGATGGTTACATTCTCATACTGGGTACTGGGAGAAGGTCACATGCTTTGCATCAATGGCAATTAGTTCCCTTTTTAAAATGGAAAATGTCATTAAGTTCTTGAATAATTCAAGAGTAGAGGTCACAATACAGTGTCCCTTTTGGGGGTCTTTATGGTGCAAATGGCAAAACAAGGCGATCCTATCAGTAAGAGTAGATCTAAGGTTTACAATGTAGCTCTATTTAGTGTGACAGGAAAATTAAATTACAGGAGGCACTCACTCATTGTCACCCGTTAACAGGCTTGGGAAAATTGTGAGTCCCTGGGGGCAAATCACTGACGACGTGCGAGGGGAATAAAAATATTGCATTTTAATTGGCTGTTGTTTCCTTTGCTTGATTTTGAAAACAACAAACATAAACAAGTCCCCCACAGCTCTCCTTGGAAATAGGGTCCCGAGTCTCCCAAACACGACCCCAATTACAGTCTCTGCCCAGAGGCGGGCGGGTTAACCGCTCTGGGGAGCCTGGGTCTGTTTTCTCAGCAGTGGTTGAGCTGGTCTTTATCAAGGGGTTCCTGGAAAGGAAAATATAGGGACAGGTTTCAAATAAAATGCGCTTCCACTACTCGGCCCCCCGCCCCCATCGGAGTCAGCTGGAGTGCAGTTATTATGTTTCTTGAACAAGGGCAGCCTTTCGATTCTATCAAGACTGAGGAGGAGGAAGGGAAGACAGAATGACGCGGAGGCCACCCACTCTTTCTCCTCCCCAGAGGAAAAAGAGTTCGAACTCCTTTTGACATATCGGGTCGGAGACGGTGCAGCTTGGGCTGGAGCAGGGTGGACGAGGGTTCGAAGAAGAGAAAGTGCAGGCTAGGGGAGCGAAACGAAAATCCTGAGGTCACTAAATGGGATGAAAGTGTCTCCAGGGCCGTGCCAGCACATCCTAGCCCTCTCTGGTATCCCCAACTAAGACTGATGGGCGTGGCTGCCTGGGTCCCGCTCCCACCGCAGCGGGGTTGCGCTTCCAGTCTTGCCCCAAGGCAGTCTGCCTGTTCGCCCGGCCCTCCTCTGCGCGGTGCCCAGCGGGCTCTCCCGGACGGGGCCGACCTTGGCACCTGCAGGAGAAACTCCGGACTTGCCAGTGCTCCCGGAGGCGGGAGAGCGATGGGGAGGGCGGAAGAGGAATACAGCTGACCAAGCCCATGGCGACTGGGGTGGGATAGGCCGGGCCGGGTGGGGACTGGCTGCCTAGGGTCGGTTCCCTGTGCTCTCTAGAACTTGTGGGGGAAAAGCGAGAATGACAGTCCGTCTGCCTCGTGCTCTTTTCGATCTCTCCCCCGATCCCCAGTGACATTTGGCAGGCATTTTCCTTTCGTGGTCTCCTCCACTAAGAACCTTGGAAGTCCTGTGTCAGCGAAGTGAGCGTTGGGAGGGGGCGAGGAGAACCCCCCGGAGGGCCAACCCGGGTTCCGTGTTTGGCGCATCTCGGCAGCAGGAGCTCGCCAAACCCGGACAGCTCCACGGACCCGCGAGGACTCGGGGGCTCGGCCGGCTGCTCTGCCGACCCCATCGCGCCCGATCGGCCCCGGCTGCCTGGCCCCGGGTACCCGGGCTCCCGCCGCCCTCCCCGAGCCCGAGCACCCGCTCCCGCTCCAGCTCCCGCAGCCCGAGCCCGAGGAAGGCTGCTCCGAAGTTCCCCGGGCCACTCGCGGGGAGCCTGAGCCAGGCCGCTAGCCCGCGGCTAGGGGCTCACCCAGGAATGAGGAAAGTGGGTGCTGCTTTATTTCGGAAGCTGGTCCGACTCTGTGAACACCTAGATAGAGGGCGGCATTTAATTTTTATATACACATGTATATATATTCCAACGTTATTTGTCCTAGAGCGAGTTATTTGTGCCTCAACTTTGATACATTTCCTACTAGAATTAGAGAACAAGGTTCGTGCCTGGGGTGGGAGCGGAAGAGAAGAGTGAGGGGGCAGTTTAGATGTTTTTTCTTTTCTAAATGATTCAATTTAAGCAAACACTTGGGGGCTCCAGGCCGCTGTAATTCCAAAGACAATTTTCTCTGGTTTTAATTTGATTTGCATTTTTTCAACTTTGATAATATTCAATTTCATGGCTGAATACACATGTAAACACCGTTAGGTCGTGTTTTTCGCCCCTTGCACCAAACAGAATGTCGCTTGTCTCGGTGCCATGGGAGGTTACACCCCGCGTCCTCAAAATATGTGCAAGTTTCTCCTAAATTATTTTTCAAAACTTAGCGCGGCAATTTGCCTGAGCTTCAGACGTGGCGAACTAAAATATATCTAAACTGAATGTATTTACTGAACTAGCCAAAGTGTGGGAAGACCTGCACAGACATTGCCAAAAGGAAGGCAGTAAAGGAAACAAATTCCTATTTGATATAGAATCAATTCTATTTTTACCCAGCATTATTTTTCCATACTGTATTAATAGTTTTAAACAATCCAAAAATAACAAATAAATTATCTTCTCCCAGAAATGTTTTTAATGTGGATTTCATTGCTAGAAAGACAAGCATTGAGAAATATAAAGATATACCTTTGTGAGGAGAGGTTTAATTACTACTATTGAGCTATTTTATCAAACATAAAATTTAGAAGAAAATGCAAGGTGAAATTGGGAAATAAGCATTAATCACATCAAAACTGATATTCAACAAAATAGCACTGCCAATGACAATGAAAGTAGGATGATGTGACCTGCCTGTGAGCAGCCACCACAAAACTGTAATGCAAGAATATGATACATTGTTTTGCCCCCAGGGCACAAACTAGACAGACATTGTGCAAAGAAATACTTGGCACGTAATAAATTTATCAAAACTCCAAATACATTTTATACTCCATTTACAAAACTGTGCTGGAAAAAGAAAGGACATACTTTCTTGGTTTGTCCAAGAATACCTTATGTAGTAAAATGGCTGTCTAATTTCCAGAGCTACCCTTCATTTAGAAATATATATATTTACCTGCTCGCTATTGACTAATGTGGAATACTCGATACTGTGAGCAATATTTCTATCTCAAATCCTAAGAATTTACAAATTACAATATTTGTTTTATTTTAAAAATCCTAAAAAATGAAAAGGATCCATGAAACATCTGAACTCTAAAAAATAAAATAGATCTGTGAGACTTCTTAAAATGCTTTATGCTCCAGGCTGGCTGATAATAGGTAACTGTATTTTAAGTTGAGGTGATCTAATTTGAAAAATATCTTTTATCATGTGAAAGGCATTTAGGCAAACAAGAAAAGAATTCCATTTGAAAGACAACAGACTTTGAAAGAGAAAGTCCCTTAATTTTTTTAAAAAACACAGTCAAGGCAGGCTGACTGTCCAATGTCTGCAAGAAAACTATTCTTTATCACTTGGCTTTAAAAAAAAGAATTATTAAATTTTAAATTATCATTGTTTAGGATTTGTACTAAGGTTTTCTATTGTTTTGGAAGGCTGGCAATTATGCCTACTTTATTTTACACAAATAGATGGCAGAGTACGCACGCTCCTCACAATTGCTTCACAGCAAACCCATTCTTAGAGACGGAGCTAATGAGGGGGGCTAATTGTAACACACAGTCTATTCAGAGAATGCAAATGGTGGACAATAGAGTACATCTTTCTCTTTTTCTATTAGTAATTGAGGAGTAAATGGAGATCTTGTTAAGGACCTTAGAAGTTTGATCATCACTGAGTGAGTTTGCCATTTTAATTTGCTTTCACCTCCAAAACAGATCTGTATTGAGACATGGCTACCTCAGCTAGAAGCAGAGCTGCTGCACCGCAGACAGAATCTGCCCTCCACCCTCAACTTCATTGAACTGGGTCTGAGCTGCAGCAGGAAACAGTGAGAGGGGCTGGGGTGGGGGAAGGGAGGCAAGGGGGGAATGGTCGGGAAAGTCTCTGGAAAGCATTCTAGACAGGTGGGGACTTCCATATGTGGCATGGTTGGGGGCTTGGGAACGTGGGAGGATATGCACCTTGGGAGAGTCATAAGTCCTGGGAAGAAGTCACAGAACCCACCCCAAACCCTGCAAAACGTCCAGCAGCTGGGAGTGGTGAGGCCCTTAGCTAAGGGTGTTATACAGGGATAGTGATCTGCCTGTTCTTTTATGATGACCAGGAGCCCAGAGGCCTGGGCCTGAGGAAGGGAAGGTGTGCATGTGTGTGTGTGTGTGTCTCGCGTGGTGTGTGAGAGAGAGGAGGGAGGGAAGGAGGAGAGAGATTGCGGAATGCAGGGGAGAAATCATGCAGTTACTTTTAGTTGTTTACTGAGCAAGGGCAAAATCTAAACAGCGCTTGCCACAATCAATGAAGGGATCGCCTCAGCTTCCAGAGTTGAGCTCCCTAAATGAGTCTGGCATTCTGATAACTGCAGGTGAGCACCTGAGATCAACTCTTTCCCACTGCTGGATGCTAGGAAAAGATAGGGATGCATTTGTTCCTGAGCTCTGGGAAGGGAGAGGCACG